TTTTTGTAAATGTATATAATTAATAAATTAAGAAAAATAATTACATTTACGTTTCTTACGTTCAAAATCCATTATATATTTTTATTTCTGTTTACAAATTTTATATTAAAAATAAGTGTACACAATGCTGCTTTTAATTGATTTTTATATATTAAATTTACTTTTATATACCATTAAATTTTCAAGTAATTATTTAATGTGTTCAAGATTTTATTAATATTAGTTTAATATAATCTAAAACTTTTACTATTACTAATTTAACTAATATTCAACTTATCGAAATGAAATAATAATTAGATATTAATAGCAACAACAATATTAATATTAAATAAATTAAAATATTAAATAATAATATTAATATTATATTTATTGTGATTATTATTATTAATATTATTAATATTATTGCTTATACACAAATATATTTTAATTATAATAATCTTTTTACTGTAATTTCAATTGCTTCTTTTTATTAATTGAAGAGAGAGAGAGAGAGACACAGACAGACAGATAGCAGAATCAACAAAGAGAACAATGCAATATAAGATAGTTGGATCACTATCCACTAATAATGCCAAAGTTGATTTACATGATTGAATTGGCGTTACGAAATTGAAACTAACCCTACAATGCACCCATTTCCCGTTGGTTCTTGTACCGAAATGCAGATTCTCAGAAACAATGTCGTTTAGCTTGCATACATCTCTGCATTTCTGAATAGGTGCACGTTAGGTGTATGTGTGGTATAAATGGACGAGGGAGGTTGGATTCCTTGGTATGGAATTAGTGTCGTCGAGAGACATCGATGACACAGCAAGTACTCTCTTGGATTATATGTTTCTTTGATCTCTAAGGATTTAGATTATTAGCACATTTATTCTCTCTCTTTCTTTCTCTCTGTATATTACATTCTGAAATTGCTTCAATACCTAAAAATTCATTTTAATATTTGTTTTTATTTATTTTTTACAAATATACAAATATACAAATTTAATATATATATATATATATATATATATATATATATATATATATATATATATATGTGTGTGTGCGATATTTTAATTCTTAATAAGCATACAAATCAAGAAATATTTTAAATAAAAAATTATTTTTTAAATAATCTTCTTTATTAAGTATCCTCTCTTTTATTAATATTATCTATTTATTGATATACATATATTATTACAATTACATATAACTCTAAAATTATAACTATAATTTCATATAAATTATAGGTACAAGAACATGCAGATGTAATTATTATTGTACCAAAATTATAAATCTAATATTTTCATTTTCATTTTTGAATTAGTAAAAAAGTTCAAAACATTTCATATATTTTAATGTTCAACGTTTAATAATGACTAAATAAGTTGAGTTAAGTAAAACGTAAAAATGAATAACAAATTAAAGATAAAGAAAGTGAAACAGATGAGAAAAAAAGGTAAGAGACTTTCACTATATATGCATCCCCGACTATCTGGTACTCTCTCTCTCTCTCTCTCTCTCTCTCTCTCTCTCTTTCTTTCTCTCTCAGTTAAGGTAGGAGATTAGTATGCTCGTATCTGCATACCGTAAGATTGTATCTGCCGTAAGCACAGCCCTTTATAGCTTTTTGTTTGTATTTCGTGAATACGTATTTATGCGAACATACTTCTTCTCTTTTGGTCTTTTTTCTGTTCACTATATTTTCTCCTTCCTACAGTATCCCCTTTGCAAACATAGAAAGAGAAAAACAGAAAATGAAGAAAAAAGAAAACGACTTTCTTAAGAGTTGTTTTAAAAGATTTGTTTTATGCAAACGCAAGAGGTAAATTTTTCGCGTGATGCACTTCGTATTCCTTTTTTTTTGTTGTTATGACTGGTTCCTTCTCTCCTCTATTTTAACTATACCTTCTTAGAGAAAAAGGTATCCTTTTCAATCGGATGCTATAACACTTTATTATTCGATCGCGATGCAAAAATAAATAGTGATATTAATATCAAATTTATCGACTTCGACATCGGTACATTCTTTTTTGCTTATACATTTGCGTTTTTGAGCTAAAAAGAACTAAAAGAAGAGAAAAAGAGAGTAAGAGACAAGAATTTCAAAATTCTTCCTGCGTGCAATTTGGCGGCGAGGGTTCCAGGAATCTTTGATATTCTTTTTTACCTTGTTTTATATGGTATTTATATAGAGATTCGGTCCATTCCGGATGAATATCAATTACTTCCGATGATTTTCGAAGCTGAATTTAAAGTTGATCGAAAAACGATAAAAATGTCTATACCTTATAAAATTTAACATTAATTTTATTCAAAAGGGATTTTTAAAATTTTTATTCATTACTTTTTTTATTTATTCTACCAAAAATTACGTATAAGTATAGTTTGTAAGTCAACTAATATTACTAATTTCAGTATTATGTAGTAATAATAATATTATCTAGCAATGATATATTCATACATAGTTAAGAAAATATTTGTAACTTGAAATGCAATTTGAAAAATTTTTTTTTCTATATTACGGTGACATAAATTTATACAAATAATAAACACTCACAATATATGAATTATATACAGAATCTCCTTGAAGACATAATCAATTATATTTATTTTTTAAATAGAACTCCTAAAATATTACAGTTCTTTAATATATTCAGTATTATAGACATCCATCATTAATGCAATTGTCATTATAAATACAAAATTAGGTTGTTTAAGTGTCCTGAACTTCTTCAGCTATTTCTTATATTTTCTTATATACTCTGATTTATGTACATTGTTACAGTGTTTGAATTGTGATGCAAGATAAATAGAAGGAAAAGATTTTGCATTTCAACAATACAACATTTTACACCATTGTAAATCACTATTTTTATACTATAAACACTACTTATATTATAATTTTTTAGTATAAATTGTTCAAAACAAAACATATTGAACTAGAAAATTTATATACAACTGCTTAATTTTAATAGTGACTTTGAAACATTGTGTGAAACAATTATTGTGTTTGTTGTACTTAAAAGTTGCAACACATTAATCGATAATATACTGCAATAACAAATAATGCATATATTCATAAAATATAATATATCAACTACTATCACCAAAATTAACACTAAAAACACTAAATTTCATATATTCAAATTATTTCGACATTTTATTAATGTAAAACAAAATATTTGTATAATAATGTATTCAAAGTTTCTAATGTATTAAAAACCAATATTTAATAATTATTCATTTTAATATTTTTTAATTGTTCATTGTAATTTTGTTAATACTAAACTGGATAAAAGATCATTCGGGTCAGGAAATATTAAGAGAGGGGTTAAGGGTCATTAAACTTCTATTTGAATGAAATGTCTCAAGATATCTCAAATTATTTAAGATGTAAGATAATCTAAACTCATTCAAATTGATATTATTGATAGCTACATTCAATTTTACTATACAAATTATGATGAAAACATTTTTAAAGAATAAGCTAAATACCAGTATAGAATGTTAAAGATGATTATAAACTCATTGTATTTTTCTTTAGTCTCAACATATTTATAATTATAGATTCTCAGTATCCACATAATTTTGGTTATTCTAAGATTAATTATTTAATTGATTATATTTTTCTGGATTTCAAATAAGGTTTTTATAAAATTAACAAAAAATTAGAAATTTATATCGGCAATATTATATTAAATTTGCAAAAAATATATTGAACAATATTTTGCTAATTATTTTTTGATAATATTGTTACATAAATATTTTGTAAATGCAAATATTATAGAATTAAATTATAATAAATATAATCTTTAATAAAAATATATTTTATCGCCAAATAAAAACAATTACTTCCTTATCAATCTCATAACGATTTTTACACACATTCACTAAAGATTCCCCTTAAATTAATATTTCATCATATCAAATAGCCATTGTTTATATTATGGCACTTAAATGATCATATCATTCCAACCAGTTATACAAATTTTGCATTTCACGTATATGATTGAATTTGGCATTTTAAATTTATAAAAGTTACAATGATATTTAATACATATAAACTGCTAATCTATTTAAGAACCATTTGAAATTCAAAGCACAATATCATTAAATTGATAACTTGAAGAAACATTTGAAAATAGTCGTATAAATTCCGAAAGTATAAAAATAAATAGCCAAAAGATAATGAACGTAAGTATCTGTAGTTATTTGCTGCTATTAAAGAAAAAATGCTATCTATAATAGTGATGACTAATATCTTTAAAACAGATCACTCACAGAAAACCATTTATTTGTTTGTTAATTATTCTCCTTATTGTATCGATTTCAATTATTTTTAAATTTTACATTATTAACACATATGAGTATTATATATATGTGAAGGTTTTATCTAATTAAGAATCAATCTAAGATTTTTCTCGTGACTAGAAAACAAGGACTTATATGATAGGTCCACCCATAAACTTGTAGTGAACCTGTAGTGATCTTTCATTTGTAGACTTCATCATACTTGAGAATGGAGTACTTAGGATAAATCGGGATACAATAGGTTAAAAAGTCTAGAACTTATATAAATTTTCTGATATAAGATTTTTGTGTTGCAACATTCAAGTTTTAAAGTAACTTGCCCATATTTTCGTAACCATTTTTTTTTAATTTATAAATTAAAATTATACTGAAGTAATTGTATTTACTAATCAATTTTATTAGATGAATTGGATTAGATGAATCAAAAAAATAAATAAAAAAGAAATGAATTGCAATCAGAACGCGCGTGTATGTGCATAAGTATATGTAAAATATGTGTGTTTTACAACCTACTATATAAAAGTCATAACGACTTCAGCTGTACCATTCATTGCTCTGCAATAAAGTCATTGGGCTTCAGAAACAAAACAAAAAGACATTTCCACTCTTGTATTTCTAACCTCAATTTTATTAGATAATGTAGGATTTGCGAAGACTGTATAGGCCGCCGCTGCGTGTGATAAAATCAAAAGTTCCAGCACGTAGCATAAAATGCTATCATTTATTTTTCTCTGTGGTTATTACCTCCTGTTATTTTGCACTACTTCATTCACATCATCACATAAATTTCATTAAACTTTTATGGACACGTATATTTGCGTATTTTGTTTTATCTGATATAAGTAGTCAAAACTTGTGTACATTCGATGTTTAAACTTTAAAATACACAATTACATGTAACTAAAGTCATCTTTATAAAGATATGACTTTACTGAATTTTTATATGATTTTTTTATTGATTTTACATCATTTTTGTGAATGAAAAATAAATACAATTAGTATATATAATTTATATTAATGGATATAATTATTTAATTAATACATAATGAATAAACCGATTTATACAAATATATAAATACTTATTATTATGTAAATATTTTTTAATTCGTATATATTTATATAATAAATTATTCAAACAAAACAAGATCATTACAATATTATACATTGAAAATACATATAATAAATCTAATGAACAATATTAAATAACTTCATATCAGTTTATTTATATGAATTCTTACAATTAATAATTATGGATAAATATAGGTTTCAACGAAAATAGTCTTTACTTAAGGACTGAAACTTTAATTATTAAACTAATGAAATAATTTAACTAAAAACATCAATATTCTGTAAAAGCAATGAATGATTTATTGGAAACATTAAAATAAAACATCAATGCTTTAATCATTAAAAATCATTATTCGAAAAAAGGGGGTCAATATCAGTGGTGGTCGCGTTGTAGATGAGAGGGTGCGAATTTTTGTGAACTGCATATTATAGTGCGTAAAATCTTATTTATATTAAAAAATAGAAAGAATAACGCTCAATTGAAAAGAATAGAAATCTAATTAATTTACGTTACTTTTCGTAGTTACGTTATTAATATTATAAATTTATTAAAATAATGCAATAAAATTAATTAAATTGATATAATAGATATTAATAATATGTATCTTTTTATCTTAAAATGTATTATTTAGTTTATTTAATTGACACTGGATCATACTGTTTTTGCATAGTTATTCAACAATCAACAGTACTTTTTATATATTCATAAACTATATTATTTCGTTAAAAAAATCTATTCACTTTTCCATTTTCTTACTTTCTTATTAATGATTACTTTGAAGGTTTGTTTGGTCAACATTTACTTTTATTTATTACTTAATTGTATTAAAAATCATTCAACTATATACAATTTTTTTAAAAATTAGAATTTAAATAAAAATTAAAATAATAATTAGAATTTAAAAAGGAAATTTATGATGTTATGTAAACAATTAAAAATAGAACATATTTGTAATTATATATATATTTTAATATTTAGAAGTATGAAGTATACTATGAAATTATTTATTCATAATGAAACTCTTATTAAAAATTTCATATATACATGTATTTGTAATAAAGATTATAAAGACAAGCGAACTACAAAACAAATGCGTAACTGTATAAAGAGAATACATAGTATGCATGAATTTTATTTTCTTATAGTATAAAAAAAATGAGCTGATCTTGTGAGTATAAGTCATAAAATCTCCTCATTACGATACCTAATAATATGGTTCACATATAAACTCCGCAAAGTATAGGTTCTTCGATCTCGATAATCGAACCTAATGAACTATTCTTTAATGAACAATAAAAATCCTCAAAGAGGTAGTAATAACGCCGATTTTTCCCTCTTCTCTCATGGGTCAGTGAGAGCTCTTTTATGGGTTACTCGTCGGATAGCTACCAAGAAACAGTATTCTAGTACTCCAGATCCCATATCCGTAATATTATGAGCACTAATTTCGCGCCATTAAAATATATACTAGATACGGATGTATGTAATTGATGTCACAAGTTGAGAATTTAATTAATATGTTACAGACTAGTCAGTTACAGTCAATTTGATTTAAGTATGTACTAAAAAGTATAAATAAAATTAATCCTTTACGTATATATAAGATTGTATTGTTTATAAGATTGCATACAAAAATACCACTAATTTTATAATCTAAACATGTGATTCATATTTATTTAATATTATATAGATGCGATTAGAGAAATAAAATGTTGAAACTATAGTATACGAAAAATCGAATAAAATTAAAAAATAGATTAATAAAAAAACTGACTTACAGATTATTTAAATATTAATTTATTATTTACAATATAAATAGTTCAGTAAATTTAATAGGTACATATGTTTTAAAACTTGAAGTTTCTAATCATTTCACAAAATTTCATGTTTAAGATAAATAATTAGATTAATTAATTAGATTAATTTAATTTTAAAGATACATTAAATATATTGTTATAATAAACTTGCAATCAAAATAATAAGTGGTTATTCTATTACTAAATGTGAAAATGTCTATTATAATATCCATGAAACGAGTAGTATTTATGATTGTGAAACTAATATACTCAAATTTCATTAATTTTTATTCTATTCCAAAAAAAAACAATAGCAGCAGTATCAATAATAGTAATGGTAACAACAGTATTTATTACTATTCTTATAATCAATACCATTATTATAATCACCTTGATAAAGAGATCATAAAATCTATTTTTTTTATTAATTTATTTAGAATATATTTAAATTGTACAAAAATATTTGAAATTATTGATCTTAATATCTAAATACTTAAATACTCATCTATATACAAAATATTGCATGTTATTTTTCTTGACGTTAAGAGAAGAAGAATTAAAGAATTTAGAAATATTTTGTGTATATACATTTTAATAATTACTAAAACAAAAATTTATTCAATTTATTTGTTTTTAATAATCAGAATCTATGAAAATTTACAGATTATTAATAGTTCTTATAAATAATTTAAAAAATTTATTTTTTGCGAAAAGTCAAATATATTTACACTGATATATATTTGATTTATACAGTTATTTAATGAAGATTTGCATATGATAAAATACGAAGTTTAGTTTTTCAGTTTAGTAAATTGTAATAATTTAATAGATTGCCAAATATTTCTTTGAGATTTATCATATTTTCGCTGAATATTTAAAAAATATGTGTTTTAACCGAAAAGCTTTTTGATTGAATCAAAAAATCCAAAAATTATGAACACATTCTTAGTTGTAAAACAAATTCTATTCGTTCTCCACGTTACCAATCTATGCTATTTTCGGAAAATCAATTTATTTTTAGTTCCTTGTCTTTCGCTTTCTTCTCTCTTTTCATGCAATCCACTTAATTTTACAGCAAATGTGCCAAACGAGTTAAATTAAAAGAATTGCGCCTCCAGTTTTTACGCGCACAGGGAAGATCGAAAGAAGTTCAAAGAGAAAACGGGCGAAGAGTAAAAAGGCTAACCGCCTCACGTATAGAAGTTTATGTCGATTGTACCTACGCGTACCTTTATATATAAGTTACTCACTGGCTTCTCTTCTCTATCAGTGCGGTCGATCCGGTTGGAGAGGCCAATTACCCGATATAAACATCGCCGACGAAAGTACTGAGATACGCTTTTGTGTAATGACCGTAATTGAGAATCGTTTTTGAGAATAACGTGGGGAGAAGGAGATAGAAAATGGAATGAAGAAAAAGAGAGACAAGCCCGTACCCGGCGCAGATATTGGATTGAGAAATCCATTGTTTTTTGGCTGTAGCGGTGAGAGTTGATTACGAAAATAGTTTCATTTTGCGTAACATTCCATATGTTTTATATTTAATATTGTCAATTTTTCAATATCGAATGAATATATAATGAGACTGCACGGATGTCTTATAAAATATAATATGTTATTTATAATAGAATATGTTAATATAATAAATTTATTTTCAAAGAATTATATCGCATAACATTAATGAATGACTTAAGACTATTAAATTTTAATATTAATATTAATATATTATTACTATACTTATATTTATTATATAAGAGCTGAAAATGCTACATAATATAAAAACAAATACATATTTAATATCACAAATATAAGCACTAGTAATAATCTAATATTTATTGAAACTGAAAATCTAAGAGAATTTGTTATTTGTTTTTTATTAAAATTTATCACTAGGAATGTTTTAAAGTAAATTATAATTTATATTTCGACGAAAAAGTATTTTACTCAAAATTATTATTTATGAATTTTGATGATACTGATACAAAAATACTATCAATGTTAAAGACTTTTATCGTTAGTAATAAATAATATAAATTCTTAATACTAATATGTTCTGTAAATTAAAATAAATATTGAAATACTTGATAGTTCATCAATAATCTTTAATTTTTCTTTACATGCCCGTAAGGTTTAAATATGTAAGTACGTGAATATATCATTATTTAAAACAATATGGAAAGTATGTTATTTTAATAATATCATTACAAATTATAAAATATATATACTGCAGAAAGAATACGTAATTTGTTAAAATTTAGATATTCTTGGGTGAGTATAGAGTATATATCCATAAATATTTGAAATAATCATGACCCAATAAGCTAATTTAATAATATTAATGATAATTTTAATATACTTACGTACTGTCGGCATTGATGCATACAAAAGAATTTTATCCAGACGTAGTGCAATGATGATGAACAGCAGTCGTCAACAATGAGATTAGACCATGAAATATAATAGAAATTAAATGCATGGTAGATAATTATATTATGTTATCATTTTATGGATCATATAATATTATAAAATTAATCTCTTTAATATCATGTGTATATTCATTATTTATGCTGAATTAGAGCGATTGATTTGCAGGTAATACCAAAATAGACAAATTAGGCTTGTATTATATCATTACTGTTTTGCGATAAAATAGGCTTTTCATGTACTTTTTTTTATTTTATTTTTTTCGTTTTCCATTTCTTTACTCTAGTAATCATTTTATAACGGTAAATTATAATGTTCGAAATTTATCACGGAAAGAAAAGTATAAGAATTGAAAAAATCATTAAAAATATTATTTTACATACTGTATTAGCTAAAATAATAAAATATATATAAGAA